TATATATATATATATATGTGTTATCACAAAATGCGACTATTTTACAAAATACTGGTTCACTAGAACAAACCGAAGACAGGTCACTTTGTAAGTTTTAAACTACTGAATATGATAACATGAGTGTTGCATCATTGCAACTTCTGTAATGTTAATTAGACATGGCTGAAAGGTCAATAAAATAAAAGTAATAAATATATGTAGAGGTATAATGTTAAAAGATTTAAGCTATTTAGACTAAACATTTGTGGTTTCTTCATATAATTTGTAGTAATTTATATCTATTTCCTAATTTTTTATGTTGGTTATGAGGTCAGTCAAATCGACTAAACCCATACTGTACTAAAAATTATAGTATAAAAACTATTAACAAGCACAAAATGGTTACAAGGTCTGTCCCTTGGACCAATCCTGTAGTGAGAGAGTTAAATCATATCTGTGCTTACAGTTTCTGATGTTTTTATTGTACAGTACAGAAGCCAATGCCTAAATAATATTATCACATAACTCAAAATTGGAAGAACTTGGGACAAGTTTTGAAACTGATGTAATGACAGATCTTGTTTTTCATTTTTCTGAACCCACCAAATGAACTGACCACTCAACTGTTTGGTATTTTAATGTAGCACAAAAACATGTTAATTTTTTGTGAAACAAAAAAGGTATACAAAATAGGAACTTTAGGAAACATCACAACACTAAAAATACTCAAACAAACAACTTTACAAGATACTGCTACAACAACATCAAAAATTCAATGTAAAAATAAAAGATGATAGTACAATTCTTTCAGTCTTCTAACTTGCGCTTTGGCTTTTTAGGATTTCTTGATCTGCTCTTGGCCTTGCACAGAGGGCAAATTGGGGCATTTCTGTGGATCTGCTGATGGCAAGACAAGCATGACTAGGAAAAAAAAGGTGGTTTAAATTTACTCTTGTAAGTATGAAAAAAAAATTGCTAAACAGGTATTTAAAAACTATTCAACATCCCAAATGAAACAGTTACCTAAAAAAATAGCATAAATAAAAAACATTGTACAGTAATTATATTAGCCCCTCTTCAAGTTATATAACAATTTAAAATGTGAGTTCTCATCATAGTTCATAGTAGTTCACAAATTTGCAGACTACTTTGTGAATTTTCAAGCTTACAAATCATACCTCGAAATTCCTTAAAGACAAAAATAAAACAATTGCTTGCAGTAGGTTCATTGAAGAATCTTCAACAATTTTAGTTTTCCAATAGTTGAAAACATATACATGTAGAATTTATCTATCAAATAAACGTTAATTCTGGATTACTGCTTTGAAAATGACATGACTTAAGCATTTAAAAAAACTAATCACGTTCAGAACAACATGTTAATATGTATAGATGATTAAAATACAGCAAATATGAGACATATAATATTAGTTGAAATGAAAAGAGACAACATACAGATATGTAAACCTTGATAACACAAACTAAAGTGAACACACACACAGATGAGACATTGATAATACTAAATAAATGAATGTATTCAGATTAGGCCTTGAATATATACAGATGAGGCCTAGATATTACTCACTATAGCAGGATTTCATAGACTTAATACAAGAAAATCCAAGATCCATATTCAAATATCCAGGTCTCCTGAATCCCGTCACATTTGCATTTTCCTGACATTCATCAAACATGCCTACCAGCAGAAACTACATCAGCCATAAGTCTCCCAAAAATGAAGATTCAAAATGGTTGGCATGAAATATATTCCAATAAACAAATTTTGTTGAATCTTTTAATGAAGCTGTTTATTCCAGGAGAAATTTTTTAGTGAAACTGAAATTCCAGAATTTTTCAAGGACCATGATTTAAAACCAGCTACTTTTCCAGGATTTCCAGTAGTGAGATTTTTTTAAAGCCTATTCTCCATAACTTTCCATATTTCAACCTTCCTAAAGTCAATGTACATAGATGACTTTGATGAAAATATTAGTTCAAATGAACACATACATAGATATATGACACTTTCATAATACTAGCTACACTGCACAGAGCCTGGTACACAAATATTACACTAACTAGAATGAAAAGATACAGATATATATTTCTTGGACTTTGAATAAGGTGAAACTGTCAGTTCACAAAGAAATATTAGACAAACAGTCATTTAATCTAAAGCTAAACTTACTTTCATGGGAGGAGGTTGCTGTCTAAAGGGTGTAGGTTGTGGTCTGTCCTGACCACTCTTATTACGATTCTGCTGCAGTTGTTGACCTCCACTAGATACAACACTGAGTGATTGGGGAAGAGCTCCTTCAGAAACTTCACTTTGCCACTCAGTCTTCTGTTTCTCAAAAAACCTAGAGGATGGATATTTCAATAGTTTTTACATGATTTTAAAGAAGTTTTACAGAGGTTATCAGTTACTGTGAAGAATTTATTTTTTTTATCAAGTAACGTGGAAACTAAGTAGACCATTATTTTTTTATAACTATGGTTTACTGAAAAAATATCATAAAGACCAGGAATTATATATTAACTTACAAAAACATGTATTTCTATAAGTCAAAGATCTACATTTCGCTCTGTATTTTTTAATCATTGACTGTTAAACAGAATTTTGAACCAAATCATAAAACACAATCTGGGGACTAAAATTAGACAATATTTGATGTTAAAGTTGTTGCAAATAGTTATAAAGTATAAGACACAATTACATCACACACACACTTTTAACCTTTATACACGTTGTTAATCCAACAATTTTCTTTTATATCTTCCTTCCAGAATTTTACTTTAAATTATTCATAGAATATAATTCAATGAAAACCACTGATTTTTAATTAAAATAAAACACAGTTCTCTGGTTGACAGTTAACTTTTATAATAACTAATCTAATATTATATCTTCTTGTGTAAACTTGCTCATAAATACTCATTAAAACAATACCCCTTCACCCATCTTCTTAAGGTTTTAAGATATATGCATAATTCATTAATATGTTTATCTAACCTGATTACCAAGTTAAACAATTTTTTGCTCCCAAAAGTAATCATGATTTAAATATAATTTGAGTCACCATGTCTTGCACAAGTGCACAATTTATAGGTATTACTTATTTGATATTTTTAATCATTGACTGTTTGTAATTTACTGCTTAGTAACCAGTATACAGCTGAACAGCTAATCTCAAAATCAGATATAATTAGCCATAACTGTCTCCCTGAAAAACAGACAACATAATATTTATAGTTAATCCACTTATTACAGGTGTGTGTACCCCTCAAACACTTTTGTGAAATGGTACCAGAGCCTTTATTCGGAGATGAAGGTTAATAAGCACATGTCTTACTCAGGATTAAAGCTACTATCTTCTTCATGAAGTTCAGGTAACTTGGAGAGACCAATTTCACATCTCAGTTTGTCTATCAGATCTTTCAAAGGACGGTATTCTTGGTGTAGGTGTTTTGCTGTGTCAAGATGTTTATTACGATCTTCTTCTGACTGCTTGATAACAGTCTCCATCTGAACTCAAGGAAATACAATATAAATTGTGAAATATAGAATTATAATCTTAATTACTTGTGATTTTTCTCTATAAATATCACTAAAACTTAATGGAGAAAAAGCTATGTTAAAAAAAAACAAATAAAAAAACAAAATGTGTTTAACACTTTTAACAGTACATAGGCAGATAGGGCAAATGTTAACACACACACACACACACACACATAGGGTGTCCCCAAATGTATAAATCAAATAGAAAGTTGAATATTTTTTTTATTTGAGATAACAAAATTCAAAACAAAATACTTTCTGAAGGCTTATAAATTTTATTCAGGTTAATTATGGTTTTTATTACTTACATTATTATTTATGAATGTTTTTTATTTTAGATTTCAGAAGTGACCCTATTTTTGAGTAAAGTGATAACTCTTGAAGAGTTTCCCCAAATTAAGCCATTTGGACTTTTATCTTTGGGGTTTTTTGAAAACAAAAGTCTACCATAACAAACCAAGGGATCTTGAGCAACTGAAACTTCATACCTGTGTTGGAATGTGTTCTCAGAATTAGATTATAGCTAATGATGGAAGATATGTAGAAGTTTATTAATTAAATTAAATAAAACGTACAAGCCTTAAGAATATATTTTATGTTGATATCTCAAATAATAAAAAAGTTACTCAACTATCTTTCTGGTATATTCATTTTGGGACACCCTGTATATATATATATATATATATATATATATATATTGTTTGGATGTCTGTATTGTGGCTGTGATTTTGTTTTACTTTTCATGAGTTTATATTATATATGCACTTTAAAAATTTTGAATACGAGTACACCAAGTTTCTCATGAAACAGGTAATGCTACAATAAGTATGAAGTATGTCTTGTTCCCTATTATAATAATATAGTTTACTTTTTCACAATAGTTTCAATAATCATAAAGTAATATGTTTAACTTTAATCTCAGTATACCAAAAACTTTAAAGTGAAGAAACTACAGACTTCACTTTCTCCCTCTTTAGAATATTATGAGAAAAGAACAAAATACACTCACAAGAGGCATATTTTTATCTTGTTAAAACCCTCAATAAATGTAATTTTTAATTTTTCTTTCATGTTTCACATTCTCAGAATGTTAAGTTACTTAACTACCCACATTACTTTTTTTCTTTTAAGCCTTGGGCACTGGCTTATTACAGATTAAATATATATTTTGTTACCTTAAAACTATTAACTTACAACATATTTTTCCTCAACTAAATTTTTTCCTGCTGTGATCTTCCATATATCTAAACTTTTGGTTTATTCACACTTGTATCTTCAGATGATAATTTAGCTATACTTCAACATGTTTTCAAGTACACGAGACTTTTCCATTCATTTATAAATAATCAAATCAAAATGTGATTACAAACAATGGATTTCTTGAGAGGCCATGTGATATTGGCATACTGGTGTTCATTAATGATTATGCTGTATAAAAAACCTAAATCGTACACTTGTATTATAAAACTTCTTTAATGAAGATATTTAACTTACAGCATTAATGTCTGCATGGATCTGTCTTAATTCTTCAACATGTGCCAGCTTTTCTTGCAACAGTAGTTCCATCTCCTGACGATATTCCTGCAAACATTTCTCTTCTCCTTCAGTTGAATCAACTTCTTGACGAAGTCTTGCTTTAAGTTTTTCTAAATGAATTGTACGTGTTCTAAAAGTAAAAATATGAGAATCTTGATAATCAATACACAAACATTTATAAACACTTCGACATTTCAAGAAACACTGTGTAAATATTAACTTCCCGATTAAAGAACTAAAAACTAAGCTAGTAACTAATAGCTAATTTAATATACCATTATAAGTAATAATGATAAGAAAGCATTGATTCATCTCTTGAGTAACACCACTTTTAGTGATATTTTTGGGTGTAATCTCAAAAATATCTCACAATATTCAACTAGCTTAGGAGATTGAGGTTAATTATAAATTCATAAACTAAGCTAGCAATGTAAAATAATCCTAAAAAAATGTATAACATAAAATGAAACTAACATTAAACAAAAACAAAACAGTCTATGATTTATTTTTGAGAAAAAAAAGTTAATTGTTTGCTTGTGTATGAAGCAATTCCCATTATTAAAACATGTGCCACCAGTATTTGTGCAACAATTTATGTAATCTTCCCTAACAATGTCTAGTGACTAAAAAAGGCCTATTAAATGGATTCAACAATGTAACATCTGAGATAAATTACTATGACACACACACACACAGGTTCAGGTAGCTGTATGGTACAAATAACACAGCAAAAACCAACAATTATTTAATAAAATAATAATACTTTAATAATTTCCTGCACACATAATGAATTTATAGAGTGGGCAGCTGGAAGTAATAAATAAGTTAAACCTTAAGAACTAGCCAAAATGTATGAGCTGCAATAACATAGAAAAATTTTCACAAAATAATATGATTTAAAAAAAGAAGCAATAACTATGGTAAATATGACAATTGAAGTGATCAACAGAACTTAATATAACCCAACAATGAAGAGGGTGCTACTACCGAGTGATCTTTGGAAGCTAAGTTCTTAGAGTTTTCAAAACATCTAATTTCTGTTTAAAGATTTGATTAATGTTTTTATTTGCAGTAATTTGGGTTATTTTCAGAATAACAAGAAAAGTTTAATTACTAATTATTAGAACTTTGTTGCATAAGTATTGCTAACTAACATTAGATTAGGCTCAGTGAATGTATCACTACTTAAACTGCAATCAGCTTCTTTGCAAGTTACAAAACAGGCTAAATAAATCGAATTATTACACAAATATTATTCAAAGACAAGTGTGAAAATAAAGTAGCAATGAAACTATGAAACATATTTATTATCTAACATTAGGCCTGACAGTGTTGTCAACAGGATACTTATATTTATTTATACTGTTGTTATTTACTCCAAGACTATAATGGTTAAAAGCAGTACAGGTGTGATGTAAAGTGGGTAGAAGCAAAGACTGGGTTTTATTTGAAAATCTGGGATTGGCATGCACTTTTAAGGAAGCTTCTACTTAAACTATGCAACTTGTTTATAGAGATTGCAGGTTTGGGGATAAACTGAAGGCTATCCTAAATAGAATTTATAAAACTGTTGGAACTAGCAGCAGGAATTAAAAATGAGCTTAATCTTTTAAAAGCAAGTGATACAGTAGCTAAAAATGAATTTCAGAAAGTTACGAACAGTATTACTGGAAGAAGTAAAAAAGCTAAAAATAAAAGTAGAGAATTTAATTGTAAAAAGTGGGTTCTTCCAAGTAACAAGTTTCAACCTTTAGCTGTTGCAGATGAGTACAAAAGTAACAGACAGGGAAGGTATGACAAAACCTAAGGAAGGTATAGTTATAGATGATTCTTTGGTAAAGCACATGAATAGGATAGTCTCTGCAGTAAACAGGGAGAAAATTTAACAGAGAGCAAGAGAGATAAGTTAGGTTGTTAGCAGTGATTCAATGTTAGTAGTGTATGTAGGGCTAATGATGTTGGAAAGAGAAACTCAGGAGTTACTTGAGAAGGACAGGAGGCTGATAAAAGCACACGGAGAAAATAAAAATACTAATTTTTTCTGGGGTATTAACATGCATTAACTGTGGAGGCAAAATTCTAATTAGATCACTAAGGCTGAACACTAGACTTAAGTAATGGTCTAAAAAATGAGTTAAATGGATTTGTGGGATCAATTTGCTGTAAATAAAATTTCTGGAATGGATGGGCCAACATGTTTGTAAGAGCTATCAATTCAGTTGTAATGGGAACTTTAAACTATAGCTTTACAGAGGTCAAGGCCAGGATCAAATAAATGCAAAAAATTATGAGGAAGATTACAGAGTAGGAATAAAGTATAGTGCCAAACTTAAGAAAAGCTTGCTTGTTGTTATGCTAATGTTAAAGTATTAGAAACAAAACTGATGATTTAAAATCTATTTTTGGAATAGAGAATTTTATTTTATGAAAATTAATAAGACTTAGTTAGATATAAATAACCCTTATGATAGAAACATATTTGAAATACAAAACTATATGTTGTTTAATACAGATAACAGTATTTAAAAAGGTGGGGGTGGGGAGGTACAGCTTTATGTGTCAGGCATGAACCCCAGCCTATTGAAGTTAAGGATACTAAAGAGGATAACAAAGAGGTTGGTTGAATCAGTATATGTCACTCTTAGTAGATACAGAGATAAAAGGCTTTTAAACTGGAATCTGTTACAAATACCTGACTGGATTGGTGAAATTAATGAAAAGTTTTTTAACAAGACCAAGAATGCAGCAGCTAAAGAGGTTTTGATCATGAAGGGTTTTAATTTTAGACTTTTTGGCAGGGAGACTTCATTGTCAAACTGTCAGATTGATAGGATCTTGGAAACTGATCAAGATATTTTCAACATCAAACGTTTAGGAAACCTCCTAAGGAAGATGATTTTTGTTTTATTAGATTTGTTACAAACCTTCAATGTGAATGTGATCAAGGGGAGTATCCCTATAAGTGATCATTGTTCAATTAGGTTTGAGGTGGTATTACATAAGATCAAAAATAATAGTATTTTGGTTCCAAATTTTGGCAAGGCTAATTTTGAAAAGATAAGATAGGAATTAACTCTAACAATTAAATGGAGATGCTTGTCAGTTGTGAGAGGTTTTTTAACCTTTTCACTGAGGCTGGGACGTATATCTTCTAGCTCTCCCACCCCCTCACACTTGCTATAAATTTCTTTTGTAGGTCCTTGAATAGTGGACAGGTGCCCGAGGATTGAAAGTTTGCTAACAAGACTTTGTATCTGGTGCTTTTAAAAAAGCATTTGACAGGACACCATGGAAAAGGCCTGTTAACCCTCATCAGCACACCTGAGACTACATGGACTCCAACGACTTTCTTGGTTGTATATCTTTTTACATAATCATTACAAATTAAATCAATTCACATAATTGTCCAGCAGAAACTCTGAATCAATATGACACTATTGTTTTTGAAACAAGCAGACGGAGTATGTAGCTATAATCTAATATTTATCTGGAGTCCACATGGATCCTATACTATCAATGACCATCAATATACATGAAGTTCGCCCTATAGCATATGAAACAAATTTATAAATGTTTATTTCACTATGTAGTTTTAGAGGATAATTCATCAAAGTATTACAATATCATCTCGACTCTTTGCTTATAACATTGTGGTAATCATGTATGCACATCTCATTCCTAAACAAGTGTACTCTGTGATGACTGCTTATAATGCCCTATTTTATAGAAACCTTGTTTGATAATTGTTGTAAATAACCTGCTTACTGGATTTTTAATCCATAGCCTAATATAAGGATACATTGATGATGAGGTCTTGTTGGACCCAAGGTGACCTCCAAGTACATTTCCATTTTCTTTGAGTTGGATTTTGCAGTATTATGGTAATCTTATCATATATTGGTGGATAATGATCTGAATATAGGAGTATAATAAAACTTTGGCATATTTTTGATACACTGTTTGTATGAGGAATGATTTAGTACTACTTATTTGTTCACTGAGGAACAATGTAATTTTGTAATTTCTTGATTGGTCAACACATTTCCTCTTGAATACATGTATTTTTATGTTGCTCACATTGCATGCTAACCTTAATAAAAGATGCAATGCAAATGATTTTTGGAATTTCAATCCAGAGCTTACTGTAAAGGTAATTTTGTGCTGGGGTTTGGTTGGACTCCAGGTGTTCCACAATGTAACTTTCCAAAAGTGTGCTGATGAGAATTAAAAAAATAAATCTATTTGTATGAGGAATTAGTTGGGTCACTGCATCAAAAAATTATTGGATGGAAGAAAGCAGAGGGGCTATAAATGGAGTTCAGTTAAATTGGATTAATACCACAAGTAGGGTACTTTAGAGCTCATGTGTTGGGACCTTTGATCTTTTTTACTTACATTAATCATACCAATGAAGAAATGGTCAATAAGTTATTTAAATATACTCATATTAATGTACTGGTCATTGCTGGCTGTGACGAAGATGTTGCTGCTTTACAAAAGGATTTAGATTACCTGGCGAGTTGGGGGAATAAATGGCAAATGGCTTTTAATTACGATAAATGTAAGGTAATGCATGTGTGTTATATAATTTAAATTATGTGCATAATTTTGATGGGAATAACCTTAACAGTGTTGTGAAAAAAAAAAGGATATGGGCATTTTGGTGGATCAGTTTTTTATGCCATCTTAAACAGTGTGCTATGGCTAGTGGTATGGTAAGTATGATTTTAGTTTGAATTTAAATAAATACTGAATATTAATATAAAGGTTATCATTTCATTGTAAAGGGAAATTGGTTAGACCTCATTTGGAGTATTATGCTAGGCCTTGAGGACCTTACCTTTCCAACAATTCAATGCAAGGCTACTAGAATGATGTCTAGTATGGAAAGCTGTCATTCAAGGATAGGTTAAGATCTCTAAAATTGTATTCTCTTAAAAAAAATAGTGAATCTAATTTAGGTGCTTAAAATTGTTAAGGAAACTGATTATGTTAAAGTCATGTTTTTCATTGATGCAAGTGGTAGGACAAGAGGATACAAATATACTTTTTGGCAGGGGTCTTCTGCTCAGACAGTTTTATTTTTCTAAAAGGGTATTTGACTTTTAGAATACGTTGTTTTGAGATATGGTGGCTGCAGTAAATTTAAAGGAATTTAAGGGAAGGTTTGATAAATACTTAAACAATAAGTTCTGGCTCTCATTTTTTATAAAGTTTAGTTTACTGGATGAGACAGCCTTCATGAATCAATAGGCCCATTGTCCTTAAAAGTTACCTTATAAATACATTGGGGATGCCAAGAAAATCTTGCTAATTTATTAAAAGAATATCCCTCAGTATATGTTTAATCACACTAAAGACATATGCAAAGCTTTCTTGTAGCCTTTTTTACGAAGGTTTGTTACAAATGAAAATTCTACTTCAAGTCCAAAGTACATATAGGTCTTTAATTTGCAAGTTGAATTGACCTCCTATGGATGTTCCCTGTATTTGCTGAAAGACACATTGACCAAATTATATATAAATGTTTCATGAAGTAAAATATACACATATAACTTGTAAGAATTCATTTAATGCAAATCAATAAGAATTTTTTATGAGTAACATTACCACAGAAAATAATGTAGGCAGATTTCTTTCATATACATTGTATTAGCACAGCACCTGTCTTAAAATGTTTCATAATTTAATAAATCTCAAAAATATAAATAACTCACACAAATGAAATGATCTTTTTTATTAGGTCAATTACGCTGATAAAAAGTGAGGTATGTACTTTCTATCTTGTTTCCTTTATGGTATCAAAAATTGAATGCATAAAACTGCTAAAGCCTATATATTCTCAAAACTCCTGAAAATACTATTAATATTAATATACTTAATATTAATCCTATTACTAATGATAACATAAATACATTTCCGATTAAATTACATACATGCTCTGTGTGAAACTGAAAGTTTGTAACAAAAGAATGATTATCTAACCTACTCTGTACTCAACAATTATATTTTTAAAGGCTAAACCTTAAATTAGATTTTTTTTGACCTAAGTGTTTACTAATTAACACTGTAACAGTAAAAAGCTATTATTATTGACCTTGTAAATTAAGAAAAATAATAATAATGCATGTATTTTCAATATAAATACTAAGACTACAGTATTAATAATTAGGATTAGTGGTAGTAGGCCTAACTAAACCAGTGGTATATACTATAGTAGTACTACTAATAGTAATACTGGCAGTAATAGCACTACCGAGTACAAGCTTAGACTTACAGTTAACATTTAATTTTTATTACATTAATTACATACAACTCTGCATTTATTTTCCTTAAGTAGTCTCAATGAATTTCGACTTATATATGCATTCTTACAAACGTTTCACTGATAACTTACCTAATTTCTTTTAAACATTCAAGTTTACCCATCAAAGTTTCATCGTCCATTTTTGTAGCTGGTGCTTCCATCTGAAGTTGCGCATGAAAATATCGACGTAAAAGTAGCCAAACCATGTTTGAATATAACCGATGTGCATTTATTATATTTTTAACATGCTGTAGAATTCCCAGTAACGTGGTATCGTGTACAAATTTACACATAATTACAAAAAACAACAACACAAGGAAACAACAAATAATTTATAAAACATTCACAACGCACTTTCAAGTAAAAAACAATACATTTTCAAATCATAGTTAGAACTGTATTAATGATAGAATAGTGCAGCGACTAATTTCTAGTAGATAATTTCTGAACTTCCTTTTGTTCCAAATGTCTCTCGGTCGTCTAGCAGTAAGTTTACGACCTTACAATGCTAAAGTCCAGGATTCGATTACCACGGCGAATTTGTTTGGTTTCTTGCTTGTTTTTTATTATGCGCAAATTTACACAATAGGCTATCCATGCTGTATTCATCACTAATATTGAAACCAGGATTTTAGCATTATAAGCCTTCAGACATACTGCTGAGCCACTAGCAGGCCTCATGGTGCATATAACGCAAATAGACCATTGTTTAACTTTGCGCTGAAACCAACGACAACATTGTCTGTTCCAAACTTTTACAGTTTAAGGCTTTTACTATGAATCTTATGAAATTTGATCTTTTGTCACGCCCTCACGGTCTGAAGTGAAAATCTCACTCATTTTATACTCGAGTAGTCAAGGGCATGTCCACCGGGATTGCGGCAGGTCCCCATTAGACAGCTCTGCCTCCCAGAAGCCCTCTCCCCATCTGAGATATAGTCTTTTATTTTAAGATTATTAAATTATCTACGTTGTGATTCCCACTGACACGAAAGCGTTAATTTTTTTTGTCCCTCAAGCTAATTCTTTGTCTCTCTTCCCTTTAAAAAATCCCAAAACGTCACTACAATTAGTCATTCGGAGAGCAGCCTCATTCCTAATTACTTTGCTATTTGTCAACGACCGCTTCTGAATAAAAGCGCAAGCATTTCTAAGCGATTTACCTTCGTTGTTCGATAGTTAGTTCTTTTATGATGTCATAACTTAGTAAATTCTAATACTCTCATTTTCAAGCCTTCATTCCTGGTTAATATCAAAACCATAACCATCTTAACTGAGGTTAAACTGTTAAAATTGACTTTAAAGCACTTAAAAATACCACATTTGCAAAAGATGGTATCGTCAGAGGCGTAGCTAGAAACTGTCACACAGGGCCAGTGCCCCTATTCTATTTGATGGTACCCCGAATCCACAGTTGATGTCTTGAAAAATCAGTATTGAAAAACCAAGATCGATATCATACTGAAATGCCCAAAATTCTCGTGCCTATGGGCCCGAGCCCCGAATTTTTTAAACACCTAGCAACGCCTCTGGATATCGTTAATATTGTTACAAAACATGCCACTTCCTATCTTATATTGCATTTAGTTTTCTTTATGTTATATATTTATCTTATTAACACATGGAAATCTTCTTAATTGCTATTATCAAGATAAATTGCAAACCAGTTGATTTACCTTCAATTTATCATTGTATTTCTACAATGCTTTTAAGTTATATTGGCAAACTTAAGAAAAGTAATATCTAAGTACTTTTTTTTATTTAAAAGAAAATATATTTTGAATCTAATTCGAAACGTTTCCCGTAACAGACGACAAGCTTCGGATGATTTAGTTCAACTTTTTCAACTGAGCAACATCAAATCATCCCTACAATAATACATTGGAGTTTGTTGTCTTTTCAACAGCTGTTTGGCCACAGTTCGTGTCAACGGGAGTGCTTTTAAACCGTAAGTTAACGTAATAAATTTCTTTCATTTCTTTTCGAACACATTCACCAATTCGCAAGTGATACTTCACGCTGTGTTCATTCTACAACAACTAAAATACAGATTCTTATACCTCTATCTTCACTCTGGAGAGTCATTCTTAGCCGAAACAAGACGTGTTCTCATTCTCGCTTAGGAAAATGTATCCCTTTACTTTAGCTTCGCTTTTCTAGCTTCTCTTTAGCCTTCTCTAATGCTGTAAAATTCATTAGTTATTCATAAGTCTGTGACCTGGTCTGCACATTTAAATGTAACGAACTAAATTGGACGCATGTTATGATTCGCCCCCAATGGCACAGCGATATATCTGCGGACTTATAACGCTACAATCCGCGTTTCGATACCCGTGGTGGGCAGAGCACAGATAGCCCATTGTGTAGCTTTGTGCTTAATTACAAACAAACAAACAAATTTTATGATTTCTTTTTTTTCAGTTTAGCTGGTAAAAACCAAATGTTGTGAATTTCAAACATGAGACCAAGCGATTTTGCTGACGCGGGTGGAGCAGAGTTTTATGGATATACAATCCTGTGGGTGTTTTAAGGTGACTTTGAAAAGCAGAATATACGAGTTTTTTTAGGTTTTTTAAATTTTCCATCTGTAACACGAATTTTTCTGTTATATCTAAGAGGGTTTGAAGGTTGGTTGAAGCCAATGATTTGTCAAGTGAACTCTTCCTGAAAGCCACATTATTAGTAAATTGATTATGGTCGATTAGCGGAATGGGACTAACATGCAAAATTCTCAGAATATGTGCCTTCAACATTTACATTAATCTTCTTGTCATTTCTTACATAGTCCATTCTCAGATAATTGAAATTTTAGCTCGATGTGCGATACATTATCAGAACCTTTCTGCAATTCAAAAAAGCAAGCTACATGGCTGTATATTAAACTATTTTACATATTCGGCTAATCTACACAAATGACTCGTTGTTGGTTTTGATTTTCTGAAATTATTTTAGGTTTCTGGTAATCTATATATATTATTTCTGAAAATGTGAATAGACTGATAATGTTTAGTTTCCCAAAGCAGTTAGTAAGACTTTTGAGTCTGTAAATGTTAGGTTTATATGCTGGCTTTCATCCTTTAAGGAACATTGCAATATTTACTTGTTTTCAAGAACATACATATATGATCTGATATTACAGATAAGCTGTTGATGGCTATGAAATATTCGTATAAGTTCTGAGTACATTTTTTAACAGAATAATTTGTATGCGATTTTGCCCCAGGGTTTTATTTTTCATGTTTTGTATAGTTTTGGTGATGTCTGTTGTGTGAAATGTTTTTGTTAATTGGTTTTATTTATCTAATGATTGTTGCCGTATATGTGGTTACTATGGAAGCACACAATGCAAACAAAGTAAAAAAATTAACAAACAACGGCTTGTAAGCACAGTTTCTCTACTATCCCCCCCTTCAAGAAAAAGAACGTGACTGCTCAGAAACTATCAAAAGTATAAAGCAGATGATTCAAACCTCAGCCGTGACAGTGGTCCTGCTAACATGGATTCTTAGAATTAGCATACTTTGGCTAAGTTTATTCTCTTGATATTTCATTTCCATGCTTGACCGTTTCTTACAATTCTCTTAAGTTGTAAACCTCGCTTATAAACTTTCAACGTTCTCACGTGACAATATTCCTTTGATCTACAAACCCTGTATTCTCAAGCATCATTTACATAAAAAAACCTCGTATGCTTAGTTTCGTGTCATACCTAAGAAACTATTGTAGATAGGGGTATCATCCACGAAGGATACTACTACCCATGACCTGAAGAGTGATTCTCAAGAAGTACCATAAACACAGAAGAAGCCCAATTTCACCTAAGAAAATCAATACACCAAGAATAAAACATCATAGTTAAGGAAGGCAGAAACAACCCCGAGCCTTGAAGGGGCTTCCAACCACGAGAAGAACTACTACCGATATCTTCTAAAGTTAACCTTCAACTTTCTCCTTCACCCTATCTCTCGCAACTTGCTCTCTTGCCCTGTCCCACCCTTGTTCACGGTATTCTTTCGACACTCTACCTAACACCTCAACTTATTATCAAAAACCCTATTTTTCCTACAAAGATCCATGATAAACCAATTCCTACCCATCAGATATTTTAGAATCTCTACTACATTCTCTTCACCAAAATTACTAGGACGAATGAAGCCCTAATCTCTGAACATCCTTGGGGGAATCCTCCACCCATGAATCCCCCGGCTTTTTTACTTTTTGTGTCATACCTGAAGAAGACAGACAAAGGTACTGTCGGAACACGCATTATGTTTTCTACAATAAATATCATTGTGCTTATAAAACGATGATTTATTAATCTACTACCATCACGTGTGGGTGTTCACCTTGTTGAAGAAAAATTTATCCATGTAGCTATCGTTTAGTGCAGTGGTTCCCAACCTTTGCTCCACCAAGGACCCCTTTTATTATCATTTTTTCCCCCACGGACCCCATGTTTTGAAAGATTCCGCCTACCCAACAAACTGTTTTTATTAACTGATAATTAACTCGTTCTCCCACTTTTCATTGTCAAATAAAAGACATATATAACTGAGTGTGCAATTAAAAAAAAACATCAGTATTAAAAAACTTACTTGTTTAATGAGATGGTATTACCTAAGGGAACCCCAGGTTGGGAACCACTGGTTTAGTGTTTTAAATACGTTTTGAAGATAGGTCTTAAAATCGTCAGCTTTATGTTTGCTAGAGTATTCTTGTCTTTTGTTATGTACGACTGTGTGTTTTTTAAGCCACTGTTTGCGTAGCGTTTAAGATGCTTCCACAAATCCTTAGGATAATTTTTATGGTTTAATTATAAGTTAAAATGATCACATTTTGTTCTATTTAGTATTTTTATTTTGCCACGCATGGTATTTATGGGTGTGTTTATATTGACTTCTGTATTTGGTTGACAGGTGTTGTGATTTTTGTGTTGTAACTGTCAGCGTGTTAAGGTTTATCGGCTTTGTTATCTCAGATAGCCTTCTTATAGTTATATCTAGGTTTATGGAGTTTAAAGATAAGTAAAGTTTTAGATTTACACAAGATGGGGAGAGATGATAGCTATCTATGTCATATCTAAAGTTAAAATATATGAAACAGGATGAGATAGCGGTTGAACATATAGATAAATGTAGGATACCGCTCGAATCGTTGATGT